CCCACCTTGCCCAGGGATGGGTGGAGGCTGGCAGCTCCCCGAGGCAAACCCTTGAGACCCCTCCGAGAGGAGAGGAGGGGAGAGTCCACGCTGCAGGAACAGCTTTCGTGACCCGTGTCTGTAACAGTAAATCCAAAGGACAGCATGAACGTGCGACTAGCCCGGTTTGTAAGCGGCGAAGGCACCGTTGCTGTAGCTCTAATGCTAAGTCTCCTGAGCTAGCTCCCCCTTGGGACGTTGCTGCCACCCGCCCGAAATGGAGTTCAAAGCCGTAGCAAAGCGCAGGCCCGATTTGCTGGATCATTAGCGAGCGTATTTGGAATGCAAATGAGCGCCGGGAGGTGGGCTGCCCATTGCGGCCTGAGCGACCGTTCCAGGAAAGAGCGACTCTGAGCGCTGTCACGTGGCGCAGCAGATCTCGGCACGCCCCAAGCCTTTGCCAGCAGCTACCAGCCCAAGCTAAAACAGAGCCAGTCACAGTTAATCCCTCGGCAGGCTTTTGCGTAGGCGTTTCTAGGAGTTTCCTCTCTCATATGGACTTAAGAAGCGAGTCTAGGAACTGAAGAATTATTATTAGAGCATATATTACATTGTGCCTAGGACCAATGTTCCCTCGAATCCTTTTCATCTATGTGCAGATGTTTTCCCTGCAGGTGCGGATTTTTTTTTGTTATGTGCACCAACACGTGTGAATGTGCACCACCAGCAGAAACACAAACCTCATGGTGGGTGTTCTGCTAATCGGCTGGGCAGCATTGGAATCTCTCCTGTGCAGCCGCACAAGCAACCAGTTTACAGGGAACCCTGGCAAGGAGCCTCCGTCTCGGACCTGTGCTAGGCGCTGTACAAACAGACAGACGGCGGATCTCAGGCAAGAGCAGGCAGGCAGCAAGGAGACGCTGTCGATCAGCGTGCTGGCAGTGGTGTCCGCACGCCCGCAGCCGGATGGGTGAAATCAGACTGCACAATGAAATCAGGATCCCTGTTCAAGTGACGGCACGCTGAAGAGGACAACACGAGGCTGGGGAAGACGTGTCAGATGGATGGATCTTGGCATCAGCCTCTGCGCAGCGAGAAAGGAAAGTATTTGCATTCCGACTGGTTACCCCTCTCGCCCTGCCAGGCGGCAAGCTGCACGGATCACCGGGAAATCTGTGGCACTCCTGCCCCTGGGAAGGAGGACCCTAGTGGGCCTAACACATCCCGCTCCTTCCTGCCTGACTCAACTTAATTGCAGCTCCTCTGAGCGAATGCTGGCTGCTGTGGGCTGCTACACAGTCAGGAGCTCTGGCAGCGGATGCTGCTGCATCGTTTCAGGACAAAAAACCTTTTTGCCCTTGTTTTCTTTCTTCGCCCCACCTCTCCCTCCACGGGGGCCTGGTAGGGCCAGCTCTGGCCCGAGGCAGACTAGACAAGTCTACAGGCAGGAAGAGGGGCAGCAGACGGCACAGCAGCGGTTTGCAGGCACCACTGCAAGGCTAGTAGCCCTGTGGCAGCAGAAAGCCAGGCTGGGAAGAGGCTTTGCACGGAGGGTTCTGTTACGTCTTCCCAAAGGTGAGTCCTTCCAGCGGTCTGAGTCAGGGCCCTAGCAGTGCCTACGCGGCAGCCCGCTCCCAGGACGCGCCTTAAGTTAGCCTGTGAGATTCCTACAACTGGGCCTTGGGGGCTGCTTCTAACATTGGACTCAGGCTTCAGAGCACAGGCCACAAGGTGCAGCCAAGCCCCACAAGCAATTTGTTCACAGTAAGAACCATCTGTGTAGATGAGAAACACGGCCCCAGCGCATGCAGCCAGTCCTCTCGGTGAGCAAGAGCCACCGGCTCCGGCGGTAAGTTTCACGTGAAATTGGTTGGTTATTTTAAATGTATCGTCTTCTATTTCCTTTTGCCCAGCACTAACCGACGCACGGAGGGTAGCAACTCGCTGGGTCTTTTGTCATTTCTGTACGAATTGCAGGGCTCAAGAACTGGCCACCCCCCAGTTATTAGCTGTGCAAATGGGCCGGTCAATAATAACTGGATCCCTTGCTCCAAACGCCTCGCACCTTCAGTGCACACGCATGGCTGTTTCCAAAGCCAAACCTGCCTCTGGGTTTGGCTCCTGACAGACCAGGCAGAA